GACGGAGGGTCGGGGCTCGCTTTGTTTGCTTTTGTCAGATGTGAATCCGAATGGAGCGGTCGGAGGGAGGCGAGCCGGGCCAGCCGCAGCCCTGGGGGAAGCTGATCCGGCTGGGCGCTGAGGAGGCAGAGCCGCACGTCCTGCTGCTGAAGAGAGAATGGACCATTGGTCGGAAGAAAGGTGGGACGGGGACCGTGTGCGGGAGGCAGAGCCATCCCCCTCCGGCCTCTAAAACCTTGCGAGGAGGACTGAAACTACTGGGGTTTGGTGCTCTCAGCTGTTTGAGCTGTTTGCCAGGCCGTCCCATACTCCTGATTTACCTCTTGGCTGCGTGAAGAAGTACTTTTACACTGACCTTTTTTACTGACCTGTGACTTGGGCATGTTTCAAAGTGAATGTGCCTTTTGGGTTGTCTGTGACAGTTTGTACAAATAAGGAAAGATTGTTGTTTCAGAAGAGTTTCTGTGCATCGGTCCTGTTTACATTCTCATTTGGTCTCTGTGGTTAAAATAAGTTGGAATTCCAATGCAAAATGCTTCTGCTTCACAGAAAAGAAAACACCCACATAAAAGCCCTTAGTTCGTCTGGCCATATAAAGGCTGCCAACAAATACTGAAAGTTTCTCTGAGACTGGATTTAAAAGCTTTATTCCCAGAGTCTCAGGCTTTTACTACTTGCCTTCATTTTAGAGGATTTCATGCTTACTGTATCTGAAACAATCACTGAAGTGTTTTAACTTCTTTACCCTGCCCTGACAGGATTAATTTTCTTTTTTCTGTTCATCAGTTCAAGCTATTTGGTTGATCAGTCACATCTTGTAAATAGTCTTGAACAAACACCAGATGCTACAGCTCTTTGAGAAATTCAAATAGTGTATTGTAGGCAAAAATGTTTTGTTAATTTCCATATGGTGATATATATTTAGACTGCTTATCATTCAGTTGGAGGTAAACTCTTCAAATTGATCTCTAGTTAAGGGTTATCTTGCAGGAAAAAAGATGAATTTTTGCATGTTCTATTGCTCTCATAACTTTGCTAATGGATTAGTCTAATGAGTGGTGGTAAGAATACCAAACTTTGGGTCACAAGTATTACTTGCAAAACCTTCAGGAGTGTTAGAATTGCATGTTTAAAGTATTTTGTCCTTCCTGCTCCCATGTGAAAGTCTGACTCTGTAGGACAGAATGGAAATGGTGGCTTGCTCCTGGATAAAACTTACTCTACTTGCTTTCTGCAGGATTCCTAGCACCACAGGTTGTATGGAAACAGTAGCTGTTGCTTCTTCCTTGACTTTTATGAGCAGACTAGTGATAGGCTGTTGCTGCGTGTGTAGTGGCTACTACTGTCCTTCTGGATAGGTTGTTTGGCAGGCAGAGATCAGTGCATACACAGTGTCAATAGGTGGAAGTGAATCATGGTTGTTAATTATAACTTGTGTGTAAGTGAGTCCCTTGGGTCACTTGTGAGAGAGCTCAGTGGGGAACCTTGAGTGTTGCCTTGAACAGTGTTAAAGTGAAAAGACCAGTTGTCCTCAGAGCTCTGGGGTCATAAGTAGGAAAGTTTCTGTCATGTCAACACTGTCATTGCACTTCTCCTGCATATCCCTAAATCTTACTCTTGGATTCTTAATTCTCTGCAGCTTTATTAATGTAAAAGTGTTGTCAGCAATGCCAAGAAAAACTTTCCCATTTAAAACCAAACAAAATTACTTTAAGGCAGAACAGTGATACTTTTTATCAGCTGTTGGTTCCTACCACTTCCCTCCAAAAAACCAGAATGAAACAGAAGTTAAATCCAAGGAAACAGTGTCACAATATATGGAAAAGGAGCTAAGTGCTCTCCAGTAGGCCTCTAGGATTTGGACTGAACACTTCAAATATGTGTGAATTTATTTCTCTACCACTCTGGAACAGAGTAATTGTGATTTGATTTCCATCTATGAGGGCTAGGATTGGGGGGGGAGGGAAGTACAGTATCTTCAAAGGATTGAAACAAGTTTATGTCAGCACATGGGGCTATCTTGCCACTTGTATCACACACTGGACTGTGTTGGTAACTGTGTGAGGGTAGAAGTTTTGAACTATTGCAGATGTACATTAGTCAGTTTGTGGTGCATTTATAGCCATGTAGAATGCTGATGTCTCTGTGTAATGTGTATTTTTAAATGCAGTGAAAAATCTGCTTTCTTTTTAAGGTTGTGACTTATCTTTCCCTGGCAACAAGCTGGTGTCTGGAGATCACTGTAAAATCATAGTGGATGAAGAATCTGGTCAAGTGTCATTGGAAGATACAAGGTTGGTTCTTCTGTGAATTTCTATTCTTAGCTTCTTTCTAGTCTGTGAAGAAAAACCTTGCTCATTGCTTGAGGCATCAATAGTCAATCCTTCTCTTTTTTGTTTCTTTTTTTCCCCCCACTTTTACATCTAGGTTTGGGGGGAAATGAATGTTTCTGTGTTAGATTTGGGGTATGAGAACTAAAGCTGTAAATGTAGAAAGATATAAGCATATTTTTCACTGGAACTGCTGTTATAAAGCAAAGCTAATTTAGCAGAACTACTTTTTGTATAGAAGTTAGTTATGTATCTCTTCCCACACTGAGGGTCAATGGACTTGCTATGCTGAGGCTGTTTCCTATAGAGTTCTAAGGCTACTCTGGAAGCACAAATGGCACTGCAGGGGTTATGGGTGGTTTCCAGTGGATTTTAGTTCGTTTTCTTTACAAAATTTGAGACAGGAATTTGAATGAAGGGACATTTCTTAGAAGGAGATTGTAACCCTCTTCAGATTTTCATCTGCTTCATTTTCAG